GTCTGACAAAACCTACAAAAATGAATGAGATAGGCCAGAAGGGCTCCATTCTTCCTCCAGATGCAGAAAAAAAAATGCCATTTAATTGGAGAGAGTATTACACATACAGGCAAAAGGACAATAGAAAGCAAGAAGTAATAAATGGGGGGAACAAGGTTAGCGGGGTCATTACTCCTAAAAAAAGAAGTGAGGACTTATTACTCATAATCAGCTCACCATCATTATGCAGTTGTCAGCATCATCTTTTGTCAGGTGTTTGAAGAACTTTTTCTTAAACGTTTGCTTCCCTTGGATGACTGAAGAGGGAGCAGAGTTTTGGTCAATCCTCCATTGTATTTCCAGCTTGCCAGGATTGTTAAGAGATAGAGTGTCTTGTCCCATTGTTCCTCAGTATGGACTTGCTCGTGCAGCCTTTGTTAAAACATGGGAAGGAACAGTGCTGTGCTGTGAATCGTACAAACAGGATGAGTTGAGATTGACTTTGTTGTAGAGATGTTTACTCAACCATTGGTCCATCTCACTAAAGGCCGAATTCTTTCCCTATCTCTTTGTTTATTTATTTAGTCTAGTAACTTTTATTTTTCTTTCCACTGGGGAGGGAAAAATTGTTTTGGAATCCCAATTATAAAGATATAGTCTTCATATTTGATGGTCCACACAAGAAATATGGTGCTAGAAATAAATGAATGTTAGTTAATAATCAGCATGTTCGCCCAGTGTGTCACTTCAGCACTTGTAGTTTTTGCCCTAGTTCTCCCTTTGATTTTTTTTTAAAGATTTGATTTATTTATTAGAGAGAGAGATAGCAAGAGAGAATGAGCAGGAAGGAAAGGGAGAAGCAGACTCCCACTGAGCAGGGAGCCCGATGCGGGGCTTGATCCCAGGACCTTGGGATCATGACCTGAACCGAAGGCAGACGCCCAACCAACTGAGCCACCCAGGTGCCCCCTCCCTTTGATTTTTTTAAAATTTGCCTTTACTTGTTAAAATGTTAAAAGTATATTCTAAAGAGTAGCAGAGTAATAACACAGTATCTAAAAACAAGATGTAGTACAGTGGTATTAATAATATTAATGGTAGCTTGCAATTAAGAAGGGCCATGAGTTATGTTTTAAGCTTTGTGGTCATTATTTATCCCCCTGCCCCAACACACACACACACACACACATACACACACACACACATACACATGGACTCATTCGTTTGCAAACTCCATACTTTGAAGAATATTTCACAGGTGAGCAACTGAGTCTTGGAGATGTTAAGACTTGCCCAAGACCAAATAGCCAGAAAGCAGTGGATCCAGGAGTGTGGCTCTTCAGGGGCCTTTCTTTTGCAGTTCACAGGGACCCACTGAAGCACTATGCTCCTGCATTGGTGGAGGGACCTTGTCTCATTCATCTTTGTACCCAACTCCTAGCACAGAACAGAATGGAACAAGGGGGTGACGCAACTAGTACTGTATTTTCGGAAGATAAATCTGGCAAGAATGAGTGGGATGAAAAGAACAGGAAAAGCTGGTGGCACGGAGAGCAGTTGAGACGTTATTTTAATAATAAGGACCATTAACAAGATTAGGCCTGAGGGAGAAGTATTGAGAATAGAAGTGAAGTTAGCTTGGGGGCGCCTGGGTGGCTCAGATGGTTAAGCGTCTGCCTTCGGCTCAGGTCATGATCCCAGGGTCCTGGGATCGTGTCCCGCATCAGGCTCCCTGCTCCTTGGGAGCCTGCTTCTCCCTCTGCTTCTCTCTCTCTCTCTCCCTCTGTCTCTCATGAATAAATAAATAAAATCTTTTTATTTTATTTAATCTGACAGATTTTATTTATTTATTTGAGAGAGAGAGAATGAGAGACAGAGAGCACAAGAGGGAAGAGGGTCAGAGGGAGAAGCAGACTCCCCGCTCAGCAGGGAGCCGGATGTGGGACTCAATCCCGGGACTCCAGGATCATGACCTGAGCCGAAGGCAGTCGCTTAACCAACTGAGCCACCCAGGCGCCCTAAATAAAATTTTAAAAAAAAAAAAAAAACGATTTAGCTTGGAGGAGGCCACGTGGCTTGATGACCGTGCGCAGGCAGTGAGGAGTACCGGGTCTTTGGATAAGTATCCGATCATATAGCAAATATTTCTTGAGCATCACCTTTGTGCCAGGAACTATTCTAGAGGCTGTGGATACAACAGTGATTAGGCAAAGGAGGATTTTGCTCTCATGGACCTTATATTCTCATTGGAGGATGTATTGGTCAGTGTTCTCCAAAGAATCCCACTGTATCCCACCATATTATATATCATATGTATATCTATGTATATATTATATATATTCATAGATATACATATATCTGTATATCTATGTATATATATTGTATATGAGAGAGAGGTTTCAAGCCACTGATTTTTCAAGAAATTGGCTATGTGATTATAGGGCGGGCAAGTCAGGAATCTGTAGGGCAGGCCTACAGGCCAGGAACTCGAGCAGAATCTGATGCTGCCGACTGGAGGCAGAATTCCTGCTTCCTCAGGAAAACTCAGTTTTGTTCTTATGGCCTTTACCTGATTGGATAAGGCCCACCTAGATTGTTTAGAATAATCTCCTTTATTTAAAGTCAACTGATTGTAGATGTTAACCAGATCTATGACATTCCCCTAGATTAGGGTTTGATTGAATGCCTGGGCTCTATAGCCTAGCTAAGGTGACCCACAAAACTTACCATCACAGAGACGTCAGAATGACCAGCACAGAGAGGAATGACCTGGGGTGTTCGAGAACAGTTACCAGCTTTTGTGGCTTGGAGACTCTGAGAAGACCTCTCTGCATGAGTAGGTGTATCTCCAGTTTCCAAATGGGGTACCTGAGGCTTGGGGATAGTAAGAGACTTACTGAAGCTCAGACAGCTGCTGACTGCCCTCCTGTTATTCTGACACCAGCACGTGTGCGGGAGACCCAGCAGAGGCTGCCTCCCCAGAACAGTCAGAAGGATCATGATGTTCGGCATTTTTCCCCGAAGGAACGCCATTTGGTGAGCAAGTTTGGATTTAGAGCTTGCTCCCTGAATGCAGAGCCTGAACGTAGGGAGGTCCGTACTGCTTGCGGGGGGTGGGGCGGCGGGCAGGGTGGCTTCATCCCACTTTAGTCCCTCCCTCACTTCTGCCAGTGCCCAGCTCAGGGCTCTGGTGCCAGTCGATCATTCTGCCCAGAACACCCTCCTTCTCTACTCCCTTTCATGCGGATAATGAACATCCATCCATGTGGCCCTCGAGTGTTCGCTTTGGGACTTTATCAGAAAGATCTTCCCTGAGTACCGAAACGAGATAAATCTCCCAGTTAGAAGCCTCCCCAAACTCCGTGTTCTCCTAATGCGGTACTTAGCACTGTTGTCATTAAGTCGTCTATTTCTGTTATTTTCTTAACATCTGCTCCTCCTATTGTACTCCCGAAGGGAAGGAGCCAAATCGCTACCATGCTGATTCCCAGTGTTGAGCCCGATCCTTGGCGTTGATTACTTGTTAGATGAATGTATGGAGAGACGAACGAATGAGTGTGATATGTAGCTTCCAAGGAATAAATCTGCAGGCATTCCAGACGATCATATGGGAACATGATGACACGTGCAGGTTGCTACTCTACTCTCCTGTTCCAGTTGCCAGTCTAATCCGATCCAGCATGCATACGGCTAACCCCAGCCTCAGCACGTGGGTTTCTCCTCAATTTCCATTTAAAAGCTGGCCCTTGGGCGCCTGGGTGGCTCAGTCATTAAGCGTCTGCCTTTGGCTCAGGTCATGATCCCAGGGTCCTGGGTTCGAGCCCCGCATCAGGCTCCATGCTCCGCAGGAAGCCTGCTTCTCCCTCTCCCACTCCCCCTGCTTGTGTTCCCTCTCTCGCTGTGTCTCCCTCTGTCAAATAAATAAACAAAATCTTTAAAAATTTTTTAAAAATTAAAAAAATTTAAAAAAAATAAAAGCTGGCCCTTCCCACCCTCTTCCCTAATTTAGGGGTCCCTCTGAAGCATCTGAGCTGAAAGCCCCCTATCACAAAGAAAACGGTTAGAACTGTTAGAACAAAAGAAGGCAAAGGTGAGAGACAGAGAGTAAACGTATTCCAGGAATAGTGCCGCACTGAGGACAAGGTCAGGCATGGACGGGATGTCCTGCGAAGCCCTCGTACTTCAGGCCAGCCCTTCCCTCTCTTCTTGCCCCAGGCAGGAAGTTCTGTCTGCTTCTGCCTGTGGTCGGGAGTCTTGCAGGTGAGAAGAAAAGGTTCTGACTCCAGCAGCCCCTGATGGTCTCTTGGGCCCCTGAGAGCCACATTGAGTGAAAGGTCAGTTAGGAGGGCCCCCTCCTGCCCCTCCTGAGCGCCCCACTTCTCCTGGCGCAGGGAAGGCTCGCGGGCCCGGCGCACAAGAGCGGCAGGGGCGTTGAGCACGTCAGCTGTACACACAGTAAAGGGTCCAGGGCCGTTCACCCTGGCTTCTGCTTCGGCAGCCAGCGGCCATCACAACGTAGAATGGCATCTGTGTCGTTAAATGCTTCCAGGAGCGCTTCCGCCCTTCTGTGTGAGCGCCCAAATATTAATGGAAGCAGGCCTTTATTTTGCAGTTGTCTTCTGACTGGGGGAAAGAAGCTTCGGATTTATTTGCAAGTAGCCTCTCTCGAGTTATATCCTCAAAGGTCTGTGCAGGCCTCCCCACTTACATTCTTTCCTGCTAAGTGTTCTTCCTATTGAGAAAGAGAGTAATTTCTCTGTGTCTACATTCTCTACATTTTCTGAAACTTGGAAGACTCAGTTGTGAATCACAGAGGACAGTCCTGGGACCCAGACAAAGTGTGACTGTATCAGCACAGGGTATAAGAGGAAGCTCACTGGCCCAGGAGCTAGGAGACGGAGGTTTGAGTCTTGGCTCTGTCTCTGAGCAGTCGAGTGACCTTGGACAAGTCTCTGGGCTGTAGTGGACTAGCTTGTTCTCTGCAGTTACTGCCACTCTAAGATGTATGGTTCTCATTGCAGGCATCTTTTCCACAAGTCCTGTGTTGACCCCTGGCTTCTAGACCATCGCACCTGTCCCATGTGCAAGATGAACATTCTTAAAGCCCTAGGGATCCCGGTAAGCACAGCCCAGCCTACAGCATCGTAATGTGTGTCTTTCTGCATTATTCCCAAAGCAGGGAGAAAACAGCACACGTGGATTTTCTGTGACCCTTCACCTGCACAGCAGGGGTGTCATCCGATGAGGCCCCAAGAGAACGCCCATGTCCGAAAACATTTCTCCTCTCACTTTCAGCCGGGGAACATCACAACCCTCTCACCACATTCATGCCTGTGACCCGAGATGCTGCTTCTGCAGCTTGTAAGCTTCTCATCTGGGTTCCAGGGTGTGAGCGCAGGCAGGCCATAGCAGAGACTGGTTGGCCCAGTTGCCCATTGCTCGCCTCCTGTACATTTCTCCTGCGCTGTCTGCAAGGACATCTGCATGCCACGCTTGCTGAGGCTGCCTTACGCCTAGCTTTCCCGGGAAAGAAACTCTTCTCAACAAGGGGAGGCAAAGCCAGCCACTGGGAATCTGGCCCAGAGCCCCTGCTCAACTCAGGTCTCCGCAGAGACCTTGAATGAACAGGCAAGCAGAGCCAGAGCCCCTTAATTCTAGCACTGCCATCCCGCTGGTGCCCTCAGTTATGTGTTTATAAAATTTAGTCTCTTCGCCATTGCAAAGTGAACCCCACCAGCTGGCTGGCTCGCTGCTCCAGGGAAGGACTTTCCCAGGACCATATTAACGTGAAGCCCACAAGCTGGTGGTTGGTGAGAAACCAGCTGCTGCGGGGAGGGCAGGAAGCAAGCCAGGCCACCAAATCCGAGGGCTGCGCAGAGAAGTGAGAAAAACACAGGCACTGTCTAAAACCAGCTAGACAAACAGGATGCAGAGCCCAGCCTCCTCCCTGTCCCCTTCACTCTGCCGCAGCCTCTCTGTTGTCACTTCTCCCTACTAATGGCAGAGAATAAAGAGAATGTTAAGGGTCCCAAGATACCACTGAAGAAGAAAGGACCAGATAGCAAAGGTTTCCTTTCATGCCAAAGGGCTAATTATCCTGGGACTATCAGAGTGGCTCTGTTGGAGAGGGCACACCTGAAGCATTCTGAGGTCATGCATTGACTGAATTTTCCACCCTGTACCAGCTGCGTCCACGCCAGCTGTATGCTGTTTTTCATGGTTGATACACCAAACACAGATCAGCTCATGTGACTGTCACTCTGAGCTAGATTTTATAAAGGCAAAGCATTAAATTTTCAGACCAGAGTTGTAAATGCATAATGCATTCAAGGTGAAAATCAATTACAGTGAACATGAAATATTAGTAAGAACCCAACCTCTCTACCAGATATTGGGAGCTTAGAAAATTGAACTCAGGGTGTGCACTTTTCACATTTCTGGCTGCAGCTGATTCATACGGGGGAGGGGGGACATGTAGGTACATGTGTACCTGCATACATGTATGTTGTCTTTAGTCTCCAACATCTTTAGAATACTTACAATGAAAGGTAGACAGTCACATTTTTCGACCCAGTTCCTGTTCCTCAGGATATTCTCGAAGCTCCTGAATATCAATCCCAGTGCTTCTTGGTCAGGACAATGAAATCAAACCACCCCTGGTAGTTAAATTTTGTACTAAATAACATTTGAGGGCGCCTGGGTGGCTCAGTTGGTTAAGCGACTGCCTTCGGCTCAGGTCATGATCCTGGAGTGCCAGGATCGAGTCCCGCATCGGGCTCCCTGCTCAGCAGGGAGTCTGCTTCTCCCTCTGACCCTCCCCCCTCTCATGTGCTCTCTCTCTCTCATTCTCTCTCTCAAATAAATAAAATCTTTTAAAAAAATAAATAACATTTGACTTTAGACTTTTCCAGAGAAGGTATGACTTCTCCAGAAGCTATTGAGAATGAGTTGAGAATACAGATACTGTTTTAAAAAACAGAATTATTGGGTGGCCTTTGGGCTTATTTCCAAAATTAATAGCATTTTCACTTTTAGCAGTTGGGCATTTTGTTCATGGTTCCATGCCCACCAAGTATGGAAGATAGGATTTTACTTAGCACACTTGACTTCCAGAAAATAAACATGGGTAGCATCTTTGGGATTTGACCAAGGATTCCTGAAGGCCAGCTGAATGGGAACATGACACGTATCTGAGCTCGACCCAGAGAACAGGACATCCTCCTGGAAGAAGAAGGCATGTGTGCTGCTTCTCAGGAAGCACCAAGGCAACTGACTACGCTCTTGCCTCCCCAAGGCTTTTCTGGTTTTGTTCTAGAGGATGATACTGAAGTCTGGATCTGGGAGGAATTTGGGATGTTGTTCCACTCCAACGTAGCTGGGGTATTCCCAACTTCCTGACTATTTAGAGATTGGTTTATTTGAGGAGTTTCCCCATGCTCACCTGAATTTGAATACCTATGCCATATTCACTTGCAGATGGTATTTGACATCTCTGCTAAACATTTCTCTTAGAGGTCTATAAATTAGATTTCTTTCAAAGTATTCTTTTATTTGATGAACCACTTAGAGTGGATATAAATTGTGAGTTTCTCTAAGTTGTGGTCTATTCAATGTTATACCTAAGCCAAATTATTCATGTGTGCCACCATTAACAGTCTCATTGAGCTAATTAGCTCTTTCTGTCTTTCCCTCCTGTTAAAGATATAATACTGTTCCTACTAGTCCACAAAGTAAAAGAGAATACTCTGCATTGAAATTAATAACTTTTTTTAAAAAAAAAGAAAAGGGATAAAACAAAGGAACGATACCAACAAGCAAAGTCAACATTTTGAAAAATAAGTCAGTTGTTATCGCATCTGTGACTGCATTCAGATGCTTAGGGATAAAAGACCAACCAGCACGGTATTCTCATCATGAAATCTTTTCTTTCCTGACACCCCACACACAATTGGTTTTGCTTTTAAGTATTTTTATATACTGTAGGGGAAGAAAAAAACATGTTTTTCCCCTTCTACCCTCCTAGGTTCTCTGACTGGGGTCCTGGAAATGAGACTGGCCAAAGATTACTAAAGCAACCAGACATTTATTCACACGTGCATTGCCTATGCACGTGGGAGTGTGTAGGGATGAGTAACTCAAAGGGGTGGTCAGAACTTGGACATACAGAGCATCTCCACGAAAGAACAAATTTCTAGAGAAGCGACAAGACAAAGGAAAAGGACCATGAGTTTCTAGGGCAGCAAATTGTGGGAAAGTACGTATATGAGGGAAACTAATGGCAGATAAGGGCATGGTAGTAAGGTGTGTTATTACAGATCCATTTTGGCGTCAACTCCCAGACTCTGTTAATAAGAATGTTCTCTTCCTGGTACAATGAGGGAGGCCACCTTTACAAATTGATGCCCTACTTTTAGGCAGATGGGAGGAAGGCAGATAACATGTCTTTTTCTGCTTCTCGACTGTGTTTAACTCAAAATAATCGTTATGCCAGCAGCACACTTTGGGGTGGCATATTCTGCTACCCTTGAATAACATACCTTACCTCCGCACAGAATTTGACAGTTTTTTAAAAACATTTTCTCAAATCTTCCTTTCATTGATCTAGGGCAAATACTAACATTGCCAGCTTCTCATAGTAGTAAACTGAAACTCAGATAAAATATTCAAATTGAGGGGTGCCTGGGTGGCTCAGTCGTTAAGCGTCTGCCTTTGGCTCAGGTCATGATCCCGGGGTCCCAGCATCGAGCCCCGCGTCGGGCTCCCTGCTCGGCGGGAAGCCTGCTTCTCCCTCTCCCACTCCCCCTGCTTGTGTTCCCTCTCTCGCTGTGTCTTTCTCTGTCAAATAAATAAATAAAATCTTTTTAAAAAAATATTCAAATTGATATTTACTGAGCACCTAATAGTTTACAGACACTGTATGAGGGCTTGGAATTTAAGATCAATATAATGTAGTGACTTCACTTTAAAAAGCTCATGTCTCATTTATATGTGGAATCTAAAAACTGAGCTCATAGAAACAGAGAACAGACTGGTGGTTGCCAGAGGCCGGGGGTTGTGGTGGGGGTGAAATGGGTGAAGGTGGTCAAATTATAAGATAAATAAATCCTGGGGATGTAAGGCACAGCATGGTAACAATCCTATATTGTATATTTGAAAGTTGCTAAGAGAGTAGATCTTAAAATTTCTCATCACAGGAACAAACTTGTAACTATATGGGGTAATGGAGATTGACTAAAATTATGTGTTAATCATTTTCCAGTATATATGTGTATATCAAATCATCCTGTTCTCTAAACTACCACAGTGTTACATGTCGATTATATCTGAATAAAACTGGGGGGAAAGAAAGCTTGTGGACTAGTAGAGTGAGACAAAGACAAGCATAATTACAAATAAACTGTAACAGAGAGAAAAATGCCTACAGTGTCACAGTATCAAAGATGCTACCTGGGAGGGAACACTACTTAGAAAAGGTGACATTTGGGGGGCGCCTGGGTGGCTCAGTTGGTTGAGCGACTGCCTTCAGCTCAGGTCATGGTCGCAGGGTCCTGGGATCGAGTCCCACGGCGGGCTCCCCCTGCTCTGTGGGGAGCCTGCTTCTCCCTCTCCCTCTGTTGCTCCCCTTGCTTGTGTGCTCTCCCTCTCTCTCTCTCTCTCTCTGTCAAATAAATCTTTAAAAAAAAAAGAAAAGAAAAGGTGACATTTGGCCTGGGAATTGAAGGATGGTTAGAAATTCACCACAGTTCGTTGGAGACCTGCGGATAAGAAAGGGGGTGGGGGTGCCTGGGGCTGAGCAGAGGAACAGCATAAGCTGAAGCACTGAGAAAACTGTGTTTTCCAAAGGCTGAGGTGAGGCCAGAAAAGCCGGCTGGGGTGAGAGTGTAGAGACCTTGTTTTGCCCCACTAAGGAGGTTATAAATCATTCTTTAAGAGAAAAGAAGAACATATCTTTTTTTTTTTTTAACATTTTATTTATTTATTTGAGAGAGAGAAAGCACGATAGGGGGGAGGGTCAGAGGGAGAAGCCAATTCCCTGCTAAGCAGGGAGCCCAAAGCGGGACTCGATCCTGGGACTCGATCCCAGGACTCCAGGATCATGACCTGAGCCGAAGACAGAGGCTTAACCAACTGAGCCACTCAGGGCCCCACTTTTTTTGTTGTTTTTTTTTTTAAAGAGTGCTCTGGTGAGAAAGTAGAGAATGGAGTGTACCAGGGAAGAAACTGTACGGAAATAGGGAGGTTAGTAATGAGGAGAGAAAATTCATAACATACCTGCTCGTGTCCAGTGTTAACGATCTCTAAGTTTAGTAAATATGGTGGGTTGGTCATTCAGTGAACTGACTTTTGATAACTTGAGTTTCAATGAATTGGCTCACTTCCAATAGAGATGAAGAAGGTGAAACAAAGAGAAAATACAGAGAAAGAAGAAATGAGCTGAATTTGAGCTTTTTTAGGAGACTGATGGACATTTCCAACTGACTGCTGGAAACACAAGTGTGGAGTTCGGGAGACTGGGTTAAGACTGAAAAGTGAGGACAAGGGCCCCCGGCTTTGGGTTTCTTGCTTTGTGCTCCCAGTGAGTCCATGAGTTACAGATTTTCCCTTTGGGCGAACTCTGAGCGCCCTGTAGTCATTGTGATGTTAATTCAATCAGTGCCAATCCAGAATTTTCCGCACCTGATCCTACCTGTCCTGATCTGCACCCATTGAGAGTGCAAAACCACGTAATTAGCATCACTCAAGGCAATGTTGATGGTTAGATCAAGCAAAAAAAACTTTGATTCATAGCTGTTCTTAAGATTTCTCAAGACCGTATCTCTGCAACACCATCTTTTTAAAATAATTTTGGAGGCATAACAACTGACATTTTAAAAGCTGTTTGCGGAAGACGTATAAATATTTTCAATATAATTTCAAACGGCAGAACTAAGACCAAAGAGAAAAACTTGCAAAGGGTAAGATTTTGCCCAATGATAGAAGAGTCTAACAGAGCTAGCCAACACAGGCTCCCTTGCAAAGCAGAGAGCTCCCCATTTTTATGTTATTCAAGTGAGGCTGTCAGAGATTTGAGGATAAGGGTCTGGAGGGAGGGGAAGTCTTGTGATGAGTGGATCGTTAAACTAGATGGCATCACCATCTAGTTTTAGGATTCTAAAATTTTCATTTAGAGGACTTGACAAATGCATGATCAATTTGCATGTTAAGTAAATAGGTTATTTTTTACAGCTGGCTTTGGCTCATGTTTAACCACCACAACAAAAATAGCCTCACCCTGTGCTTTTGTGTTTATCTCTACTAAACAGCTCACCATGAGTCAGAGTCTGTGCCCCATCCCTACTCTCATGTCATCAGTGCGTTTGCAAACAATGCATGGGTCTTTGGGGCTAATTATCTGCTGTCAGCTACTTCCTGTATGAGGAGTAAACACTATATATAAGGAAGGGCTATCATTATAAATAAATGCCATGTCCCCCCCCCAAGTATTATATTAGTATATGTATATTGCTTCTCCTGGAATTAAAATGTTATATCTAGATCTGAATGGAACCCTTGAAAAGGAAATTTTAGAAGCTGTTTTCATGTTAATTACAGAAACTATAATGGAAAATTTTTTTAAGTGATTCAGGAGGAAGACAGTAAAGAACTTGGTTTTCCATTGAGACAAAAGACTTAGGCTATAAACATTTCATCTCTAACTTGATGACAGACACTAAGGGCAGATCCCTTTCTGTTCATATCAGCCCAACGCCGACTGCATGGATGACTTGCCCACCGACTTCGAGGGATCTCTGGGAGGCCCACCCACCAACCAGATCACAGGCGCGAGCGACACGACTGTAAATGAAAGTTCAGTGACTCTGGACCCTGCTGTCCGGACGGTGGGAGCCTTGCAGGTGGTTCTGGATACAGACCCCACCCCGCCGGAAGGAGAAGTCATCTTTACTACTAACAGTAAGTTCTGCTCTGCTTAGAAGCGCCATAGTCCACATAGGACTTAGAAAAAGACACTTTTCCTCAAGAAGAAAACAAGTGAACTGAGGATATAACACTGCCAGGCTAAACAGTTGTACCCAGCAAGGCCTTTAGAAGCCCAGCGCTTTCCAAAGCCAGCAGGGCAGACAGCAGACCTGGCGTGCACCTTGCCTGCCCACACACGAGAGCATGTCATACCCCGTGGTACCTGAAGTGGGTAGGGCGCTGGCTCTGGCGTGGTGAAGAGCAAGTGAAGAAAGCAACTGCAGGGGATGCTTAGCAGGACTGGGCTAGGGCACAACCCTGTTCACTCTGTGTGTGTGTGTGTGAGAGAGAGAGAGAGAGAGCATGCACATGGCTGTACAAGGTGGCCTGGGCTGCGTGCAGGAGGGTGCGCTCCCCTGTTGCTGCAGGTCTCAGATGTAAATGGTATTCCTTTAGGTGGCTATTTTTACAGTCCGACCCATACCCCCCGTACACGGTGGCATATTAAACTATCTTCGGATTTCTTCCCCCTCTTCTGCATATACTCTAACCCCAGCTCTAGTTGATGGTAGTTATAAAAATATTAAATAGCTGTGTTAGCATTCAAGATTGAAGCTAAAACCTAAAGCATTTGCTCTTTAGTCTTATACAGGAGAGAGAAAAGCTTTGGGAGTTCTAAGAAAACCAGCATGCAAATGAACTTCGGTTTAAGGTTTAAAGGGTGGGTGGATATTGAGATGTTAAAATAAGGTGTATTATTTCTCTTGATAGAAGTAGCCTATTCACTATAGAAAATTTGGAAAAGGAGAAAAGCAGATTAAAGCCTTTGGGGCTATTTCCTTTGAAATTGGTCTCTTTTTTACATATTTGTGATATTTGTAGAATTTGTAAAAATTATTCAGGCTGAAATGTAAAGATATGCTTTTTTCTGATGAAGAAACTAATAGACCTTACTGTTGAAAGATTGAAACATGAAGAATAAAAAAGAATGCAAAAATCACTCAGTACCCCACCTGGAAATCATCACTCTTAACATTTTGGTATATTTCCTGATAATCTCTTATGGGATAATCGAGACATTACCATAGGTGTTGAATGTGGAATATTATAACTGTAGAACTTCCATAGGTCCTCAACAGAATAACTTCAAGGGGCGCCTGGGTGGCTCAGTCGTTAAGTGTCTGCCTTCGGCTCCAGTCGTGATCCCAGGGTCCTGGGATCGAGCCCCACATCGGGCTCTCTGCTCAGCGGGGAGCTGGCTTTTCCCTCTCCCACTCCCCCTGCTTATGTTCCCTCTCTCACTGTGTGTGTCTCTCTCTCTCTGTGTCTGTCAAATAAATAAAATCTTAAAAAAAAAAAAGTAACTTCAAGAGGAACTTGGTGGCAAATATCTGCCCCTGCACCGTTTATTAGTTTTGGGTGGGTAAGAATTTTGACTTTGAAAACTTGACTTTTAGAGGCATTAATGACCTCAACGTTGAAACAATGACCTTTAGACACTTGAAGTCCTTAAAGACGAATTCCGATCCCTTTGTTTTGAAAGCCTAGGGTGGTGCTGTCCAGTATTAATATAATGTAAGTCACATATGTCATTTGAAATTTTCTGTAGTCACAGTAAAAAACATAGGTTAAGTTCATTTTAATGATCTATTTATTTAACCCAATATACTAAAAATATTTTGCATTCTTTCTTTTGTATTAACGCCTCAAAATCTGGTGTGTGTTTTACATTTACAGCACATGTCAGTTTGAACTAGCCACACTGCAGGGGCTGAGGAGCTGCATGTGGCTAGTGGCCTCCATACCAAAAAGCATAGACCTAGAATCCTAGTCATTTTGGGGATAGAAGAACCTTAAAAGTAATTTCATCTGTACCCTGATAAACTTCTAATTTTTGGCATGAGACAGTCGTGGCCCAGAAGAGTAAGTGGTTGATGTAGATCAGACGATAAGTTCCCTTTTCAGAGTCCAAAGGCTGTCCCATAATTTTTCCATTTCTTGACATCTTTGCTTCCCATTGGACATTTCACTGCTCACTGTCTCAGTGAAGTATATTGGAAGGCCCGATAAACTTCTGTTCAAAAACACTGAAGGCTTAGTTTTTCTCAAGCCCATAAGAAGAACCCAATCAAAAATGGATCATTTTCCTTGCCATAAAATATTATTTCATTTTCAAGAGAAAATGTGTCCTCTGTGAGAGTCCTTATTCTTGAAAGTTGATACGTACTTCACACATCTCCATAAAACCCAGATGCCAAATGGAAAGGCATCACTTGTGGGCTCAAATACATCCAAAAATGAAATATGGGATCATGGTCTGCACCGATATACTTCGTAATCTCGAAACCGTTTTTGCCTAAAATAGACTCAGGGTATTTAGGCCATGGCAGGCATTCAGTAGATGTGTCCAATCTAATCTTGAGGCAGGGTGCTCTTGATCAACAGAAGGAAAAATGCCAGGTCATTGTAGAGGAAGATATTGGGAAATTTGAGGAAATAAGAGAGGTCTGAGGGCACCTCTGTAATCGGAAGATGGGGATGGTATACAGGAATATGGCTAGAGAGATCAGTCTCTTAGTACAGAAACTGAGTTTATTCTCACTAGCCCATTTATTTCTGATTAGTTTTATTTATTGGGATCTAACAGAATATTCCAAACCCAGTCATTCTGATTAGGTATTGTTTATATCCCTAAGCAAATGGCTATAGATTCCTTAAGGAGAAAATCCTTTGCTGTATACAAGTTTGTAAATTGCCTAGTACCCTAACTCAAATAACTAATCCACAAATGAACAAACACAGATGTGTGAATAAATGGGTGAAAAGATTCAAATTCTCATCAACGCCGTTAGAACCAGCTCAAATGCTGTCTAAAAATAACGTGGATGGAAAATTAAGTGTACCTGGCATACAATATTGCTGCGAATCACAAATAAATAACCCAGTAGAGGTTGGACCTAACTTTTCTTCACGTTATCCTTTCCCATCTCACATGTCTAGAGACCCAGGAAATTACTAGATAATGAGGAAATAACTGTAGCTATCAGATACATCACACCACTTGTGCACTGGCCCCCCTTTTAAGCCCTATGAGGGAAATATTATCTTTATTGTCGTTTTACTGATGCCGAAATGGACGCACAGAGAGATTAAAGTAACTGGCTCAAGGTCCTAGCTAGTGACAGGTGGAATTGGAATTCAAACTCTCTGTCTGGCTCCAGAGCCCCATGCTTAGCTACGCTATGCTCCGAGGATGAACAAGGGGAGGAAATAAACACAGTAGCTTGCTCCCTTCTTTCATTTCTTTATTCCTTTTCCCCATTTTTTCTAAATCTCAGAAAGATCAAAAATGTGTGTCATCCCTACCTCTGCTCCTCCTGTCTGGCAAATGGTGTTGGTGTGTGGTCGATCAGATGCATGTAGAAGTCATTTCAGCACTCAAGGGGGGAGTGTAGAACAGATTGCCTTTAGAGTGAAGATGGAAAAGTCTGGCATTAAAGGATCATCTCCAGTTCTCGGGAAAGGGAAAAAAAGAAAAGCGTTTATACAGCAAAGGAAACCCAAACTTGTTCCAAGTCTGACATTTGGGAGGAAGACGTGCTCATATGCATCATCTTGACTGTTTCTGATATTCTGCCTTTGACAACCTCACATGGCAGTCCCAAATGACACACTGTTTGTCCTGCACCTTAGTGCGAGGGGACATGTGCCTGAACGCGCAGATGTCCCTCACCAGTCTTTACCTGCGGGCATGCCTAATTGCCCCCCAAACAGACATTGCCTTCTGACTCCCCAGGCCCAGGCTGCAAGTTTTTGGATTTGCTTCAGCCAGGAAAAAAAGTTCCTAAGGATCAAAGAAAAACACAGCTAAACAAACAGTTATGTGTGTTGGCAGACTCCAGACAGGAGCTAGAAAAAGACACAAAAGGAGAAGACTCTATTACTCCTCCGCAGAAACATTCAGTGCCACTCCACGTCCGCTCAGGGGGGTCTGAAACCTTCCCAAGGAAGCTGCCCATTTGCTTCATGAAGTCACTGCACTACACGGCTCTTTAGCACTGTCTCTCAGTTATACATAACCACTTGCTACTCCTTCTACCTCCGACTAGAAAAAGCCAGCATTCAGCCCACAGGGTGGAGAGTAGAGGGTGGGAGGGGTGCAGGGAGCCAGGAGCTAGAAAGAGACATGGAAATGGGTCAAATCAAGACACCTCCAAGCTGCCCCTGTACCTTCTTGAGCATGTGCCAGAATGTGTGTGGCTGGGAGACCTGGTCTTCAGATCTCACAGAAGTTAAGTGGTACGCATGAATTATCATGTACTCAGCCAGTTGAAATGCGGTATGGGATTCCTCTGGGAGACTTCCTTCGCTAACTTTCTATCAACTCTTATCCTTGGGGGAAGCACAGTGCATCCAGTGTACTCAGCAAATATGTTGTGTGATGTGTTTAAAATGCACCTTTATTTTTGCCTCAGTGTCACGTGAAATGTACTGAGTGCGTATAATACTCTCCTCCCCTGGGTGAAAATTCCAGCAGGCCTAGGAATTTTCTGCTTGCTCCTAGGTAACTGACAGTTCTCGAAGTCCCTTCAGGTCCCAAACACAGATTTTTTTGCAGGGCCCTTTTCCTTGTAATTCCCATGCCTCAAGACAGGTGGATCTCTCGCTTACTTGTAGGGCCCCCTGCCGCCCCAGTGCATGCACACAGTCCATTCCCAGATGTCTGCTCAAGTGCCCTTACCGTCTAGGCCCTTTTGGATAGGGCCCAAGCTGAGCCCAGACCAGCTCTGGACCCTCACACATCACCTGCCCTGACACTCCTGTCCCGACCAGGAGCTGTGTCTGACCTCTGACCTCATAGAGGCCATCTGCCTCCTCTCTCTACCCTCCGGGCAGGAAAGACACCTGCGTCCACAGTCTGCTTTAGCCTTTCAAAGGCTGAAGTCAGTTCTCTCTGAGTCCCACCTACAAGAACACAGTTCAGAATCCCCTCCAGGGTGCCCTGATAGTAACCCCTCACTGGGC